ACTTGTACTAGAGACAGCTTAGCTTCACCTTGTAGGAGTACCCCACTAAGGATCACTAAAATCTCTTCCAAAACCCGATTTTGTGCAATGAACGGTGCCACACACGTTGGGCTTACCCCATGTTTAAGATTTTAATGATTTTGACATGGAGGACCAACTGCTTTTCATTTTCCACATGAGCACCCTGTTCGATACACGAGTCCATAACACAATCCAAACATAGTCACCATTACCACATGAATTCAACGGTCTTAGCTCCACTAATTCACAAAATCAACTGGCACAACAGAGAGCTAGATAGGAAAAATCTTATACTTCAACATCCTCCATAGTGCTACACTACCTCCCTAGGTTGCACATTACTATAGAGACTGTCAATTCAAAGCATACTGAGTAGGCAATTTGCAAGGAAACACGTACTTGGAGCCCTCAAATTTAAAAATTTGGACAGTGGACTAGGCTCCAAGCACACAAACAGCCAAACATTCACCCGCATACATAATCAAACACCCCCCCCCCCCCCACACTTAAGCACGACATTGTCCTCAATGGAGGAAAGATAAGAAGGGTAGAACGAAGTTACCAGATCAAGGGTGAATGATGATGGACGGGGCAGGCGGTGCATTCCAGGAAGAGAGAGTAATCGGAACACAAACACCACACAAAATCTCACAAAGGTTGAGTTATTGACTCTAAAATCAAATAACAAAACTGACTCAACCGAGGAGAAATAGAGAAAGAAATGCAAACCGACTGGTTGGGTTGCCTCCCAACAAGCGCTTCTTTCACGTCGTGAGCCGGATGATGGCTCCTAAGTTTCGGTCCATGCTAGAACCTCCTTGAAGTTGAGGTTCTCATCTATGAGGTGGAGTCTCAAGTCACAAGCAGGTGGTGTGGCAGGTGATGAAGGCTCGTGCACTTGATGCAGATGAAGTCTCCACCCTCGAGACCTCTTCTTCTCTTCTCTCGTCTCATTGCCCCAAACCAGATAAGACAGCATCGATTGGCCACCATCGCGTCCACCAAGAGGGACCGATGTCGATGTGGCCTTGGTCTGGCAAAGAGACACTGCAAATGGGTCCTTGGCAAGCAGCTACTCGAAGTTTGGTGGGGATATTACTTGCAACTCATGGCCGGTGCAAGCCTCTTCCACCTTAACTCCGTCCTCAGCCTGGACGCCAATTGCTTCTTCAACCTCCCTTTCTTCTTCATGTGGTATCACCCCTGGGAAATGATCAAGAACTCCTCCTGCTTCACTTTCGTCATCCTCCACAACTTCTTTCTGAACCCTTTCTTGCTCTTCGTCTTCTAGCACGGATTGGAGAGCAAGTTGCCAAGCAATTTCTTTCATGAGATTTTCTTGCATCTCCTCTCTCATGACCGCCTCCTCAAAGCTCAGTTTGGGATGTGGGAAGGTGTGGTCGGCTACGACAGGATATTCCTGATCATGATCATCACGGGAGCTTTTCGTGAAAACTTCTGTTTGCTCCACAATATCCTTGTAGCCTTCGTCTTCCTCCTCCTCTTCTAGTATGATAGCAGAAGGGTGATCTTGAGCAGGTTGTGCATAAGCTTTCTCAAGATCCTCGAGGCTCTTCTTTATGCTCAGGAGGGTCTCCTCTATTTCACGGTAGGAGAACCCAGTTTGGGCATTGTCTGGGAAATCCATCTTTGGAAAGGATGTCTCAGGTACTCGAGCAATCTGCTCCACGAGAAGCCTCAAGTGATAGTTTGGATCTGACTGATGGAGGAATTCTTCTTGATAAGTAGATTGTTCTTGAAATACCCAGGGGTCTGATTGTTCTTCGTAGGATGGGGGTTGGTACTGAAACCCGAATCCATAGTCTTCTCCTCTTTGATTGCTCCAGGGGGTCTCGGGGTAATACCACTCGGATGGTGGTGGATACCCCCAATGGTTGGAGAAGCCATGAGGATCCATGATTCAGATCTGCACCAACAAAAACAAAAACACCCAAGTGAAAAGCAAGGGTGGAAAAGAAAAGAAAAACGCTAAAGTAACAAACTTCTGCCTTTCCTAATAATCTAGAAATTCCCCGGCAACGGCGCCAAAAACTTGACACGCCAAAACACAACACCAAACTGCGACCAAGTGTAATCGCAGTCCGGGAATGCAGTAACAGGCAAGTTTAATTATCAACCCGTGGTCTAGATCTACTGCTTACTCCGTGATTTTCTATTATCTAGCAAACTAGTTCGAGTGATTGTTGTGAAAAGTAAAAGCAACAAGAAAGCAGTAAATTATTCGGTTTTCTAAAGGAGGCAAGAGTCACTCGGGATTGAGTCCCCCTAGCCCCTTAGTTAGGTTCAATTGCAATTCCCCTGGGTTGATTCACTGTTGATTAGACTGCGGAAGATCAGACAGTAGCTTGGAATCTCTTAAGCTGACCAAGCCCTCTCAGTCTAACTACACGGCAGACGACTAGTCTTCACCGGGATAGAAAGCTGAGGCTATGAACACAGAACTCCACTACTGGCGCCAAGAACACCAGTACAAAGCAGTAAACTGGCTAACTCTCGTATAGCCAATCTCCTACTATCGAATGAAGAGGCTCGAACAACCTAATCAGATTCTATCTATCTCAGGTTGCAGCAGAAATTGAGAAAAGCTGATCAGACTCCAATCAATTCAATAAACATGCATCATTCGATTAAAATCAAACAGTAGTATCATCCCAAGTCATTACAATCAAATCCCTAACACAAGGAACTAGGGTTCTTCATACCCAAGTGAGAGAAGGGTTCTACTCCATAGAGAGAGAAGAGAAAACAAGAATCGGATTAGTCATACTCATAAAGATGAGGATAATCTGCTCCGGGACGATGATTTCCACTCCTATGACGATCTCCAAGCTCGATTCGATGAAATCCAGCTCTAAGACAGCTTCTAGGGTGTGTTCTTCGTACTTTCTCTCTCTAGGGCTCTGTTTTTGCTCTCAAAACACGATTTTTTTTCACTTTTGGCTCGGAATAGGCTCTAAAACCAGGATTTCCCGACTCGCACGGCCAGGGTGCACGGCCGTGCAGACCACCCACTTGGCCGTGCGGCTCCAAAACGCGGCGTATCAGATGTCCTCAACTTTCTAGAATTAGAAGGCAATTTTAATGTCAATTTCAGGTTATGTTCATGATCGGCTAACTTGGCAACGGTGGCTCAGAGGTGACGTGATTATGGCCTGGCAATGTTGGGGATTAGACCAATGTAACAACTCACAGCGGTGATGAAGATGGAGCATTAGCGTGGTAGTCTTTGATGATTAGTAGAATAGATTTTGTGTAGTTTTTGTGTGAAGCAAACAACTCACAAGTCACAACGAGGATGGAGATGGAGGATTAGTGTGGTAGTCTTCAATGATTAGTAGGGTAGATTTTGTTTTTCTTACGAGTAATCGTATTTTTTTGAATGAATTTGATGAATTTATTGGCATGGTTATAATACTAATTAAATATTTTAATTTCAATTTATTTAAAAATGAATTTCATAAAACAAATATATTGCCTCTGGAATCATTAATTAGGAGCAAAATTATTTGTCTCCATATATATTATTAAAAGCAACAATATGTGTCTCTAAAAGTCTATACAAGAACGAAGTGATCTCCCCTAAAGGTAAAAACACAACAATTAAATTTGCCTCAATAACCCTCATTACAAACAAATGCATCTCCCTCTACAAGTATTTAAAAAAATTAAAAAAACATACTTTTAAAAGTGGATTTACCATCAAATAAATTTGCCTATAATTCATTAAGTAGTAATTAACATATATTATTTGCATCTACATTTGCTTCTAAAAGAAATTAGAGACAGAGGCGTCCAATGAAAATAATGTATTTGCTTCCGTAGTTATACAGAAACAAATAAATGGCATCCCGAGTCAAATAATCTTTCCCTCTAAAGATAAGTTTTATTGTAGTGATTTATGGGGCTTTAGGGGTACACCGGAACACCCCTAAAATTTAGAAAATTGATTATTCAACTCCCAATAGTTGTTTGTGTATAGTTCAAAAATATCTAAATGGTAGTGGGACACTACTAAAATTTGGGAAAACGATTATCCAACCTCAGTAGTAGTTTGCATATGGGTAAATAAAAACGTTTAGTTGGTAGCTTATGTGATTTGAACTTGAATATTGCTACTATTAGTAAACATTTTTTTCATTAGACTACAATTATTAGTTCTTGTATTTTTAATCCAAATAAATAGTAAAAAAAAATCATTATCTCCCATTATTTTCAAACGCAATGATTAAACTCAATTAAGGACTCTCTTTGTCTAGTAGGAATATCGAGAGAGATTTGTAGAGCAGTGTTAGAAACCGAAAGTAATTTATAATTTTTCCAAAATACAAAACATGCAGTGTACTTTTGTTGTAATTTGTACAAGTCAGATATTTTCTTATTTATTTATTAATTTAATTTTTAAAATAGGACATCCCTATGTAAAATTTTTGGATCCGCCACTGTGTATATTTGTTGAGTTCATGATATAGTACGTCCGCTTAGTGTTGTAACTGAAAATTTATATGCAAAATTTTATATATAATAATGTTGGATGTATGGGAGGGTATTACCCATGGGTACCCGAAAACCGTGAATATGGGGATGAGTTTGCGAAACCTTTCCCCGCATGGATATGGGACGGGTATGGCTTTAAATATTTGAAAACGATGATAGAGATGGTTCAATGGCCATATGGAAGGAAAGAAAAACTCAGATGTTCAATGGCCACAAGATGGAGGAAACGAAGATAGTTCCTAGAGCCAAATTCTTCTTGCAGGATTACCAAGATCACCAAGTAAAGTCGGACGTGCAGATTACCGCACCAACTTCTCAAGGCTGGCAGCGTCCTTGCCCGGGCAAGACGGAAATTAATGTTGATTCGAGCTTCCCGACGGAAGGATGCCTGGGAATGGGAGCCGTAGCTCGTGGGGATCAAGGTAATTTTCTGTGGGCAGCCATAAAAAGGATCTGAGGCACCTATGATATTGAAATGGGATTGGCTTCGGCTATGGAGTTTGGTTTGCAAATGGCCAGGAACTTACAGGTGGGAGACTACATTGTTGAAACAAATTGTTTGGGGCTTTGCCCAGAAGGTAGAGGTGGCGGAGACCATTCATACTGAAATTGGGGTAGTTTGCCACAATATACAAAACATGCTCAGGGAGTTCGAAGGTGGAACGTGGCGGCATGTACGTCGAGATGCGAATGAGGCATCACACATTGTAGCACATATGAAGGCTCGGTGGGATTAGAGTATTGTATGGGTAGATAGACCATCCGTAGTCACTTAAATTAGATTAACAGTTCAAGTTTGGTCACTGGTCGTTAGTCTCCGTTAACTTTTGGTGATGTGGCTAGTTAACCGTTAAATGAGTGACGTGGCAATTAAAAAATAATAAAAAATTAAAATATAATTACTTTTTATTTTCCAGCTAATTATCATAAATTATTAAAAAATTCTAATTCCTTTAATTATTATTTTCCACCGCTACATCAGCAAATACAATACACACAACATTCCTCTCTCTCACATTCTACGAGGCGGCGGCGAAGAATAACTAGACCGCACCTTGAACTTACCCGGCGAGGTCATCCACCAGATCCTCGCTCTCCTAGATCCCCCAAGGAAGCTACAAAAACCAACGTATTATTCTCAAGATGATTTCAGCTCTGGCGATCATACCTAATCCTCGGATTCAGCGATACACAGTTCGGATCGATGCAATCGATGAAGGGATTCGACTCCGCCACCTTGTAGAAGTTCAGCTGTAGAAGCAACGATACCCTAATTACCAGCCGTCAAAATCAAGTTCAATGGTGGAAAGGAGTGGCTCGTAGAAATCTACTCTACTTTCCTCGATGACATGTTGCAGTTGGCTGCAAACATATCTCCCCCCGCCCCAAGAGATTGATATTACAGCCGAATTAGATAAAAACATAGGCAGATTTCCTAATTTCGATGGTACGGGGACATACAACATCCCACGGGGTCTATTTCTACCCAAATCCAAGCACCAATTTGCCTAAAAGTTCTCAAGTTGACCAACTGCAATTTTGATCAGTTCAAGGATGTGAATAGTAACCCTTTTGTAAGCCTTGGCTGCTCCCTCAGGGGGCTTTCTCTCTACGAAGCCAACTTCCCGGCCGGGGAAGGCGGCAGCGTTCGGACTCGTTCCAACTACAACATCTTAATTGACGGCCAAGTATAACCGCCGACTGGGTGTAGCATAGGGCAAGCAAGCAATAAGAATTTATCGTACCACGGGGATCTAGGCTTACCCTACTTCAGGTTTAGGGTTTGTTATCTAGCCAATCCCAGAATAGTGATTAATAAAACTAAGCTAACTAACCTAGACTAACCACTAACCTAGCTATTTACAAGGTTTGGAGCCCTCTTGGGTTGAATTGTCCTAGGTCCGTTCTTTGGATCAATGTTGGGTATCTTCCTAGCTCGATCGACTCAAATACACTACTGTTTGGAGATGGACTCCCCCGGGAATGACCCGGAACTACGAATTGATGGATGGGTTAGTGCTCTATTAAACCTAGGGTTTCGTATAATGCTATGAGACTGGTTGAATAAAATCCTCGGGGACTACCCGGACAATATACGATAAGAGATACCCGAATACACCAAAAGGGGCTCTAAGAGGATTATCTCCCTCCTAGGTCGAAAGCTCAATACACGAAAATGGAAACCCAAATCATGTCATTCATGAAAACATCCATCAATTAAGTAAAATCATCAATCAAACATGGAGTTTGTCACATACATCAACATTAAATCAAAATTTAGACCTAGGGTTCTTAAACCAAGAGAAGAGGGTGAGTTTCTAGAGAGAGAAGAGAGGGATTACAAATTTGAGCTCAAGATCCTCTTCTTCTTCTAGGCTTGAATCCTTGTCATCAAGATCAATCCAAGCCTCCAATCAAGCTCCAAGATCACTCTAGCACTCTCACTCTCTCACTAGAACTCCCCTTTTGGTGTTTTGGGCAAACCCTAGAGAGGGGATTGAATTTCTCTCCAAAAACCAGCTCCCTTTTCTCTCTCCCCACTGCTGTCTTCATATTTGCTTGAAAGTGACCAGTTCACGGCCGTGAACACCTAAACGCGTCCGTGAACTCAGCATTCATAACAAATCACCACAATGCATAGACAATGCCAATACCCACGGGATTCAAAACAAATCACCACAAGGTGCCACTATGGTCGTGCAAATGTAGAAGTTGTTGTGCTTGGAGCTATCAAATTTTTTCAAATTTGGGCATTCTACGAGGCCAAGCATTCATAATCACACCAATCATTTACACACGTGCATAATAGACTACCCCCCCCCCCCCCCCCACACACACACACACACACTTAAGCTCAACATTGCCCTCAATGGCGTAAAATAAGGAGGTAGGATGATGTTACCGGATAGAGGTGAATTTTGGTGTTCGGGAGCGAAGGGAGGATGAGATCCAGAAGAGCAAGGAGACGGCAAAACACCACCAAAAGCTCTCCATTGGTCGTTTTATTGAAAGGAAAGAGAAGTAAACCGTTGATGGTTGGGTTGCCTCCCACCAAGCGCTTCTTTAACGTCGTGAGTCGGACGGTTGCTCCTCAAGTTTTGGTCCACCCAAGAACCTCCTTGAAGTTGAGGTTCTCGTCGGTGAGGTGGTGTCTCAAGTCACGAGCATTGGACGAGTCCATGATTGAGGGCTCGTGAACTTGAGTTGCGTTGAGGCTCCACCCCCGAGACCTCTCCTTCTTTCCTTCGTCCTTCTTCTCCTTGCCCCATACCATGCAGTGCATCATCGATTTACCACCATCTCATCCACCAAGAGGGATCGTCGATGGTTTGGCCTTGGCTTGACAAAGAGCTGCAAATGGGTCCTTCTCTAAAAGCACATCGAGGTCGGGCGGAAAGCTTTGTTCGTACTTTTAACTTGTTGAAGCTTCATCCACCACGACCTCTTCTTCATCTTCGACCTCACTTGCTCCTTCTACTTCTTCCTCAACCTCCCTTCCTTCTTCTTCAACTTCCTCCCCTTGGGAACACTCGACATCTTCCCCCTCTTCAATGCTTTCTTCCTCCTCTTCAACCTCTTCTTTCTCCTTCCCTTTCATTTCTTTAAGCACTTTTTGGAGGGCAAGATGTCATGCAAGATCAAAGAAACGGTTATCTTGCTCCTCCGCACTCGTGACTTGGTCTTCAAAGTTGGTCTCGGGAAGGGGAAAGTGATGAGAGTCGTCAATGCAACCTTCTTGTTCATACTCACCACGGGAGCTCTCCGGGGTGAGTTCGTCTTGCTCCACATGGTTGTCATTGATCTCTCCATCAACCTCCTCTTTCTCCTCCAACAATGAGAGGCGATAGTTTTCACAAGCTCGTGCCACTTTATCTTCTAGTGTCAAAATCGGGAGGAGGGAGGGGTTGGAAATCCATGCCGAAGCTCATTCTTCCAAAGGTCTCATGGCTTGCCTCTTCGACCTCATCTTTCTCTTCTTCAAATGGAAGGAGGCGATTGTGAGCAAGTTGTGCACATGCTTTCTCAACAAGCTCTCCTTGCCTCTGCGTGCGTCGAATGAGCTCCTCCGATTCCCGAAGAAAGGTTGAGTCGATAGGGCTGGTGATGGGAAGGTACAAATTTGAGCATCCCTCGTCGGTACCCAGGGCAAATTTCTCCACCATGAGTTCCCAGTTTCTCTTTGGCTCCGGTTGTGGATTGGCACATGGTCTTGAGGTTTGTCCATTGAAAGCCTCCATGGCCAACTCCAACTTGGATTTCTCCTTGGGTTGTGGAGGGAAATCTTCTTGATATGGGGAAGCCTTTTCATACCCCCAATGGTATGGTTGTTCTTCTTGAAAGGGGGTTGGTAATAGAACCCGGATCCTTGGCTTCCCCCTTCTTTTTCACTCCATGAAGCTCCGGGGTACCCTCATTCGGGTGGTTATGGATACCCCCACCTATTGTAGAAGCCATTGGGATCCATGATTCATAACCTACACAAAAAGGGGCTCTAAGGGGATTATCTCCCTCCTAGGTCAAAAGCTCAATACATGAAAATGGAAGCCCAACTCATGTCATTCATGAAAACATCCATCAATTAAGTAAAAGCACCAATCAAACATAGAGTTTGTCACATACATCAACATTAAATCAAAATCTAGACCTAGGGTTCTTAAATCAAGAGAAGAGGGTGAGTTTCTAGAGAGAGAAGAGAGGGATTATAAATTTTAGCTCAAGATCCTCTTCTTCTTTTAGGCTTGAATCATTGTCTTCAAGATCAATCCAAGCCTAATCAAGCTCCAAGATCACTCTAGCACTCTCTCTCTCTCTCTCACTAGAACTCCCCTTTTGGTGTTTTGGGCAAACCCTAGAGAGGGAATTGAATTTCTCTCCAAAAATCAGCTCCCTTTTCTCTCTCCCCACTGCTGTCTTCATATTTGGCGAAAGTGACCAGTTCACGACCGCATTAGCCAGTTCACGGCCGTGAACACCTAAACGCGTCCGTTAACTCACCGTCGTCTCCAAAACGCACCGCTTCACTCACCTGGGTTCACGGTTTGTGCTCCAAGTTCACGGTCTTAGAGACCGTGAACTCGTCTCGCGGTAGTAACTGCAGATTTCTCCCTGGATGCCTCGATGTTCACGGTTACGGGGCAATTGTCACAGTAGCTCTTTTCGACCTCCAATCGACCTGAAACTCGTCCTCGACCTTCCCACACGTGCTAGGACCTGAAATGTATAAAAACAAGCACAACCTAGCATGAAATATGTTGAGGGACGATGCAATGCAAAGTCAAACTATCAAGATATGAGGGGTAAAATGTGTACAATTGGACCCGAATCACGACCATATTCTTAAATCTAAATAGCATCATCGACAATGCCTCTTGCTTACAGTATTTGAGTCTGTTCTGTATTGTGGGGATCCGGAGGAACAGAGAGTTTGAGAGAGAGGAATGGTGTGTATACTGTATTTGCTGATGTGGTGGTGAAAAATAATAATTAAAGGAATTATGATTTTTTAAATTTATAATAATTAGTTGGAAAATAAAAAATAATTATTTTTTATTTTTTTATTTTTTTTAATTGCCACGTCACTCATTTAACGGTCAACTATAAGAGTTGACCGCCACATCAGCAAAAGTTAACGGAGACTAACGACTAGTGATCAAACTTGAACTGTTAACCTAATTTAAGTGACTACATATGCAATAAATTAATTTTAGTGACAAACATGAATTTCTTAATTAATTCTAGTGACCAAACTTGCAATTTAGCCATAAATAAATATTTATTTATTTAATAAAAATCATCGAAACTGCTTCTTCATGAACGATTGCTGAGCGAGGTCGAATAGACGTTACCACCAACGAGGAAGGTGACATTTTTCTGAAAAGCTTTTAATTTCCCCCCTTAATCTTTAACTGACGATTTCTCACTCGTTTTAAGTCGAAATTTTTAATTTATTTTGTAGAGTTAGATCAGGTTAATTGTGCTCTTCAAAATTATTTTCATTTTTATATATTTTTTGAACAAAAAAAAATTGAACCATTTTTTCTAAGTCTATACCATATGGTATTGACTGGTATTGAAATAAGAGCATACCTATGGTATGAAAAGCGTACACATGGTGGTATGAATGAACCAAGGCTGTAGGATAGTTGAATACATGATAGCAGGAGTATATTAACTATCATTTACGACTTTTAACATTGTGTACCACAAGATACCACCCTGTACCATGGTGGTATTTTTTGGTCTTGTATTTTGTTCACCCAGAAATTTGTGGATCCAATAGATCATGATAAACTCGTTCCTTCTGTGCAAAAAAATTTCAAAAACGAATTAAAAATGAAGAAGATATCATATGGTAGCAGTTGGTACCGAGATGTCCGAATTTTTTTTTTCTCAAAAAATATTGAAAATGTATCTCATTTTGTAGTGCACAACGAAGTCGTTCCATTTGTGCAAAAAAAAATTGAAATCCGAGTTAAAACGAAAAAGATATGACCGATTAAAAAATCAAGTAAAAAATAAAAAGATCTTTAATTCTCGTCTGGATTTTCTGAATAAAGAGTCCAGATTTAATTACTCATAGGTGCATAACCCACTATATCTTGAGCCACTTCACAACCAACCAACCAAAAAGAAAGGGGAGCAGATCCGGTGAGTAACCTTGTGGTGTTATAACCCCATGCATAACCCAATAAGAATCCGCCACATCAGCACCTCCTTCTCTCTTATCGAAAAACATTTAATTTTCCTTCCCTTAATCTTTAACGGATGATTTATCACTCGTTTTAACTCAGAATTTAATTATTATTTTTTTTGCACAGTTAGATCAGATTAATTGTGCTCTTCAACATTATATCCACTCTTATTTTTTTGAACAAAAAAATTCGCCAGTTATTATTAGTCTATACCATATGGTATGACTGTACCATATGGTATTGGCTGGTATTAAATAACAGCATACCATATGGTATGAAAAATACCACCCTATACAAGGGTGGTATAGTATGGTATGGAGTTGGTAACGAGAGTACAAAAATTTTTCACCCAGAAAAATTTGAAATCCAATAGATTAAATGTTCCTTCTTTGCAAAAATTTTCGAAAACGACTACAAAACAAAGGAAATACCATATGGTATGGAGTTGGTAACGAGAGATATGAAATTTTTTTTTCAAAAAATATTGAAAATGGATATCATTTTGTAGAGCACAACAAACTCGTTCCATATGTGGAAAAAAAAATTGAAATCCGAGTTAGAATGAAGAAAATATGATCCAATCAATAAAATAAGGAAAAATAAATCCCTTTAATTCTCCGTCCTTAAATCTGCAGCCACTTAAAAGAAGGGTACAGATTTGGTTACTCATAATTATACACCCTATTTTGAGCCAAATGAAAAAGCCTAGACATCAAGACAAATCCGCTATCTTCCCATGAAGCGAAGATTCCCACCTTCCAAAAATGGCAAAAGATGACAGCTTAAGTAAACATGATTAGAACCTAAACATGCTTAGGATGCAAAGGTGTATAGAATTTGCAGGTTACAACCTAGTGATATCTTTATTTGTCATTAACCTAGTAATATCTTTGGGCTAAATTGCAAGTTTGGTCACTTGAATTACTAATAAAATTCACGTTAGCCACTAGAATTACTTTATTCCATTTGTTGTCACTCAAATTAGGTTAACAGTCTAAGTTTGGTCATTGGCCGTTAATCTCCGTTAACTTTTGCTGATATGACGGTCAACTCTAATAGTTGATCATTAAATAAGTGATGTGGCAATTAAAAATTAATAAAAAATAAAATTTAAACTTTTCTAATTTCCAACTCATTTTTACACCCATTGACAAACAAAAGAAAAAATAATGTCCGATCAACTTGACCCACACCACTTCTTCCATCACCTTCGCCGCCGATTTCTCCAGCATTCTGAGATGCGACGCCACCACTCATGGATTGATGCACTAATTAGCTTCTTCACACCTATTGACAAATATTTACTCCTTTAACTGTATTGTACGTACGCAGGTGGACAACCCTCTCTCTCTGGCGCTGCAATCGTCCAAGGAGCAGCTGCTAGAGGCGATACTCCGACGCCATCAACGCCTATAGCATTATTAGCAGTCCCCCTTGCTAGCGGCCTGAAGCAGGATGACGAAGCGAAACTCAGTGGATTTCGATTTTTTTTTTTTTTTCATGTATCAACCGTCAGCAAATTTTTAATTGATTGTTTAATTATTGGTCGTATCCATGTCTAGTGTTGATTGGATTTTACGGCTGCTAATCTTGATTACAGGCTATACAGGCCCACCACCATAAATATTAATTTTACCAACAAAAGAGAGAGGTATCGCCACCATCGCAGATTCGCAATTACTTTACTTATACTATACAAAAGAGTTGGACGCCATACCTGTGTCCGTGAGCAAAACAGGCGAATTTCAGAGCCTCGCGAATGTTCCCGACGGCATTGACCACAGAAACTTCCAAGCCGCTGAGACGATCGGGGAACATCCGGATGGGATTGGAGTCGTCTACGAAGGCTGCAGCGGCGACGGCGCAACAAAGGAGGAGGAGGATCGAGTAGATGAAGGCGGGGCGAGCCATCTCTGCCGGAGAAGGGAGTGGATAGGTGGAGGAGGAGGAGGAGAGGAGAGGATCTGGTTGGTTGAGTGGATGAGAGTGGTAGGGTAGTAGCTACGTCGGAGAACTCGGCGGCGTATGTATGTGATGGAAGAAGAAGTGGTGTGGGTCAAGTTGATCGGATATTATTTTTTCTTTCGTTTGTCAATGGGTGCAAAAATGAGTTGGAAATTAGAAAAGTTTAAATTTTATTTTTTATTAATTTTTTAATTGTCACGTCACTCATTTAACGGTCAATTTTTAGAGTTGACCACCACATCAGCAAAAGTTGACTACGGCCAATGATCAAATTTGGACTATTAACCTAATTTAAATGACTACGAATGGAATAAAATATTCTAGTGGCTAACGTGAATTTTACTAGTAAAACCAAATTTGGACTATTAACCTAATTTAAATGACTACAAAGGGAATAAAATAATTCTAGTGGCTAACGTGAATTTTACTAATAATTCAAATGACCAAACTTGTAATTTAGCCAATACCTTTGCTGAATCGCTATTCATCGCCCTAAAATTTAAATTTTATCGCCCTAAAATACACCAAATTGACATTCTTACCCTTAGTCACATTTTCAACCTAAAGCCTAAACAAAAAATATGTTATCCCCTGCCCAGCGGCCGGCGAGCTAAGCTTATCCGTCCTTTGACCGCTGCTACCATAGCCGGTGCCTTATCTGCGGCGCTGCCCACCTGAACCCACCTGTCGCTGATGCTCTGTTCTGTTGTCGGTGTCGGAGTTTCTCCAATTCTTCATTCCTTCTTTCTTCCCTTGCCCCTTTTCCCCACTAAACAACGGCAACAACAACCGAGATGCCCACTAACCCCGGTGGCAACTGGCAACGCGTCCCCAGCCGAAGCGCCCAATCGTGGTGGCGAACCACCTCGCTACCTTTCTCCAGTTAATAGAATCATCAACAAACTTTTAGCTAAGCTAGTACAGAGCATTTCTCTTTGATGTCTACTAATAAAAGAAAGACCCTACTACTAAAACCAATGTGGAACCAAAACAAGAAAATTGTGGCTCAGAGTAGAGCAACAAACAATTCAAAATCGAAGCAATTAATCCAATCGCAACTGGGCAGCGACAAACTGAGAAAGAGATAAAGAAAGAAAGTGGATGTGATTTGGCCATTTGGGGATTTAGGGCTAGGAGTTCAAAGAATGTTATCGTTTTGTTTGGAGTTTCATACCCAAAACGGCCACTGGTGGTTGCGCCGCCTCCACCGCTTTAGTATGACAGTTTATGATAATTATCGACTGAATAAATGAAACAAAGGACATTAAAGTAAATTTAGTTTAATTAGGGCGACAAATAAGAAATTTTAGGGCGACGAATAGCAATGCCCTATCTTTGTTTACCTACTTCCCATCTCCTGAACAAAGATCCACCAACCGACCAAAACCACACAAACTCCCCACTACAGATGAACATATCTTCTAAAGTTTATTCAACCTGAAAATGGTGTCAGGTAAGTAACAAAGCTTTTTTTCCCCAGAGATCACATGAAACCCCTGTTTTAGACTTGTAGGACAATTGGATTGTGCTCACTCAGAAAGTAAATTACAATCGACATTAGATGACATGAGCTTCATTTTTAAGCTTGTCAATCAACTCGTCCACGGAAGATACTAGCACCCCTGCTTTCCTCTTGGGCGGCTCTGTGACTTCAACAACCTCTAGATCGGACTTCGTAGCAACGTTCAGCTCCTCCGGGGTGTATTTCTTGACGGGCTTTGATTTTGCTTTCATAATGTTGGGCAGTGTCGCATACCTAGGTTGGTTCAGTCTTAGATCGGTGCTGCAGAAGAAGACGACAAGTGAAAGTTGAGCCACACAAACATGACATAGGAAGGGGAAGAACATGCTGCCAGGACGTAAATAATCTTCAATGCAGCCACAAATACATACTAGGCAGAAAATAGAACTGGCCTTTCATCCCGTCATATCGATACATACAAAGATGATGCCTCTTCCTAGCTAACTATGCTAGGTCCTGCAAATGTTCATCCCGTCAAATCAATACACACAAAGATGATGCCTCTTCCTAGCTAACTATGTTACTCTCTGCAAATGCAAACACCTAAGCGTTTTGGTTTTAGCAATAGCAGAATGGAAATTCTAAGAAAGACTTTTTTTTACACTTTCACCGGAACATACACAGCAGAGAGACAAAAAAAATAATACTAAATAGACCAACACGAAATCACAGTACAGCGATGGGAGTTGAATAAACAAGGACAAGAAAAACGAGGACGGTGTCCTTACGTGATAACTGCTGGTAAGTTTAAACACACAGTCTCCAGACCACCATCAACTTCTCGATCCACCATTACTTCCTGTTTTTCCTTGTCAAGCACGACCTACTAGATAGTAGCAATAACTAGTAAGAAAATATACTGAACAAGAGATATTGCAGAAAAAGCATAATAGCCCTTACAGTCATGCAAAAGTTCATAATAAAACACCCACTGCAGCTGATCATCTACCCCTTACTCTAGCTATTCGCAATTAATTGTGGCTAGGAGCCTCGTAAATCCTTCATGATTCTAACAGTTAACTACGCTTCATACTTCTTAGTGTTACAAGATCACAATCCACATTTCAGATTCAGGATCTAACTCGCACTCAGCCATAATACAAACCACAACCAGTACAATAACCGAAATTTAGAGCAAGCTAAACATACTTGACCAACAACAATCGTTCAAGAAGACAAAGCAACACGGATAACAATTTTGAGGAAAGTGATTCAGTAGGTAAAGCTTTCATAATCACAGTTCTGCTTCCTTCTTTGCCTATGAGCTGCGGGATCAACAATTTTCCTTCTAAAAGAAATTGTGAACGAACTAGCTTGAGAAGAACAATTGGACGGTTAAGTCCACCACTAACCTTGGAAGCAAATGTCCCCTGAGGCCACCCTAGAAGTCCTGCCACCATTTGCCCAGTTTGATTGCAATCATTATCAATCGCCTACAGCAATCGCACATAAATAATTGAAGCTAAAAATTTACTTTCCTCCATTAATGAGAAAACCCAGATAAGAAAACCCTTCAAAACAGAACCAACCTGTTTTCCTAGAATAATCAGACCGGGCTTCTCTATCTCAACAAGAGCTTTGAAAAGCTTAGCCACAGCAAGAGGAAACAAATCGCCAGTGGCCTCCACGTGAATCCCTCTATCGGCGCCCATGGCCAGACCCGTCCGCAACGTATCGATGGATTGCTTGGGGCCCATAGTGACGGCGACCACTTCAGATGCCAATCCTGCTTCCTTGATTCGAAGAGCCTCTTCCAGAGCTATCTCGCAGAATGGGTTCATCGACATCTTGACGTTTTGAGTCTCCACTCCGCTCTAGAAAGCATGAAATTCATCGGCGCGGAGAAAAAGGCATCACATGGGGAATCTCGATCTTGTTCACTGATGAAACGGCGGCAGTTCAAGAGGGGTTTTTAGTTTTTACCTTGTCGGCCTTCACTCTTATTTTGACGGCATAGTCGATCACTCGTTTCACGGCCACCATAATCTTCATCTTTGCCGGCGGAGATAGGTGCTTGACAGAGCAACAGAGATTAGAGTGAGAGAGCCGCTAGCTAAGCTTGTTGAATCCAAAATGAAAATGATTTCCCGATTCTGAATTGTCTTCTTGGTCAACATAGCGTCTCAATTACACAAATAGTCCCTTATGTTGGAGATGCTAATAAACAGGTCCCTAACGTCTATGTTTCAACAAATTTGATACTTAATTTTTCACTAACTAACAAATGATTTATACCGTCAGTTTCCATAATTTCCGGTTCAAATTAACCGCAACTCCATCTATTTGATTATTTTCTGTCCGTAAAAAAAAAGCAGTGTTGTCAAAGCCGGACCAGGAAACTATTCGAATTAGCGAGAGTTTTAAGATTTATCGAGTAATCGGTACTTTACCGGTACAAAATCGATCATAAAATCGGTGACATATAAGTTTTTCAAATAAAATAAGAACGACTTCATGATACATATGAAAATTAATACTAGAGTATAAATTGAGAATTCTATATCTTATACATATATCAATTGAAGAGTTCCTAATTAAAAAATATAATTTTAGCACTTATAAATGAATAAGATTCTATAAAAGTTGAGCAATTGATAGGGGAGATGGAGGGGATGAGTTACCGTCACATCCTCTAAGAGGGATGTGAGATTCACATCCAAGGGTAATTTGGGCATGAAAAAATACAAACAGAATTTATTATTTTTTTATTTTTGTATTAATTACAGATTGGGAATTAAAAACCCAAATTAAATACTTTTTTAATTTAAATCCTACAATTAATACGCTTATATCTCTCTCTTTCTTTTCCAGCAACCTCTTCACTCCGACCGCCAAAGTTTCTCTGGCCGACGAATTTTTCCGGTGAAATCCTCCAATCAGACTCGCTCCGGCCAACTGCAAAAAAACCACTCTGTCAGTGTGCTAGTGGTACTGATTTTCATCTAGTGGTACGTAATAGTGGTAGTGGTACGCTACAAATACCACTCGTACGCTACCAGTGAGTAGTGGTACGCTACCACTACCACTGGTACCGCTACCAGTGAATAGTGGTACGATACCACTACCACTGGTAGCGTACCCCTAGACAGAAATTAGTACCACTACTCACTGGTACCGCTACCACTGAGTACTGGTACGCTACCACTACCACTGGTAGCGTACCATTAGACAGAAATCAGTACCACTAGAGAATAACATAAAAAAACAAGATCTGGAATCTGAAAAATCCCAGATCTGGAAAAAAATTAAGGAATGAGGAAAGGAGAAGGAAGGGGAGAGGTCGTTACCTCGCGGCGGCGGGAGAGAGATGGCGGTGACAGGAGTTGGAGGGAGGAGAGAGGGCTGCGATGGTGGGAGGCGGAGGACGCGACGGCTGCGGCGGGAGGGAGAGATGGTTGCGGTGGCGATGGGAGGGAAAGACGACGACGGTGGCGACGGGAGGGGGCGGCGGCGACGACAACGGTAGGGAGAGACAGAGAGCAGTTATGGTTCTCGGGAGAGGGGAGAGAGGAAGAGTTTTTTTTTTAGGAAATCAGATTATATAGAAAATGAGAAAGGATCCTGTGTGGTAAGTTTTTCTCTTCCAAAAATATCATTCATTTAATCTAAACCGTTAATTTGAAAAACCAAGAGAGAGGGTGGATCTAATGGCTGCGAAGGAGGAAGTGAAAATCACAACCCCTATGAGGGTTGTGACACTATCTAATCACGGAGATGGAGGTTATGCCTTTTTTGAGTTTTGACCCGTTATGTATTTAATTGAAAAATTGAATGGAATTAAAAATAATAAGAAGAGAGAATGAATTAATCATTAATGAGAAGAAGAGAGATCGTAGGAAAAGAGAATAGAGAAGATAAAAGTGGAAAATGAAATGTGATAGGTGGATGTAGAGAAAATAGAAAAGTGAAAAGTTGTAAGAAGAAGTAAAAAATATTCTCTTTTCCTCCTTCGGAGCACTTCTACAATGTTTTAAAGTATTGGTGCTTTAAAGTACAAGTTGAAGTTGTACCGTAATATTAAAAGTATAAATTAAAGTTGTATCATAAGGAAATTTTGCTTTTATATTATCGTACAATTTCAAGTTGTATCATAACATAAAAATACAACTTTACTTTGTACCATAATAGGATTTTACAAAAAAGCATCGGTACAATCTAAAGTTGTACCAAAACGTTAAAGATATGTCTTCGAATTGTACTATAAAAGCAAAAACTAAAGTACCATTGCTTTAAAGGATAGTAAAATTCCTCTTTCATTTAATGTCTCGATTTTGAAACAATGACAATTTCCAATAAAAAAAAAGAAAAAAATGGAAGGTCAGCAGTAGTGGACTATAACCGTCGGTACGGGTCATCCGGGTAGTGATGGCAATGGGTCGAGTCGGGACGGGGCGGGTACCTCAATACCCATGCCCCGCCCCACGCTAGTACGGGTCGGGGCAGGTAATACCCGCGCGGGTACGGGGAGGGGCGGGTCGACCCACTCTTACATGCTATTTGAGAAAAATACACACACAATTTTACTTTTTATGATAAAACAAAGGGGGAAAAACTTGACGAATGAATAATAGTGATAATATAATAAGTAACTGAGTCTATTTAGTTGAAAGATCAAGTCTAACTAGTTGAATAAAAGCCTAAATAAGATATATATGAATGGATGGGATAAAAAATTGACCTAGAACGGGCTAAGAATGGGGCGAGGCAGGACGGGTCGGAAGTTGATACACATGCTCCGCCCCATCGCGGGCCAGGTCGGGTATTACCCGGCGGGGCGGGTTCATATTGCCATCCCTACATCCGGGTTTGCCGATTAGTCGGTTGAACCGGTTGATACCCAGTCGACAGTTTTCTTTGCATTTTTACTTTTTAGCAAATCGTAACCGAAATTATGGCCGGATCCGGGTTTCCGCGGTAGGACCGTCTGGCCTGACCCGGTTTTAATAATGTTAACAGAGAAAGATCTTGTGAAAGAGGAAATGTCGAATGAAAGAAATGAAATGAGATTAAGCGATTAGGGATTTTGACTAAAGAGTCAACTAAGCAACCAAACCGGTTTCAACCTCTCGGTCAGGCCTCAACTTACAGGAGTTACACGAATGGGCTTTACTAGAACAAGCCCACAGATCCAAGAATACCGATCTGAAACTTGAACTAGTCTCGGCCCAAGCTCAGTGAAGAAGGAACAGAGTCGATCATCTTCTTCACAGAGCCAAGACTCTGTTCAGGCAAAGAAAAGCAGAACAGGGGAGGAAGAGAGGAGAATGAAGGTACAGAAAATAAAGTACACAGCCGATTTTTAACGAGGTTCACCACAGGGCTACTCCTCGTCCCAGGATAGTACCACTATCCTGAGAGACACTTTGATTTTCTTTTTATGACGCAACAAGAACAGAACAACCGAAATACAGACTCTGGGGAGAAAATCAAAATGTCACTAGACTTGGACCAGAATTCTCGCAGGAATTCTATACACCCTTTGATCAAGCTGAACCTATTCCTCTGCTTGAATCAAAGCCACTGATCCCAAACCCAACCCCTTGTCCTTTGCCACAAAGGAATCCCTGTTTGCTTCAGTATCGAGCCCTTGTCCTTCTGCTTCTTTAAATAGTTCTTCAATGAGCCGTTGTGTTTTTGAAAACGATGCAGGAAATGGTAAGTTGAGCAGCTGACAATTGATATCTTGATTGATTGATATGCTCCCCCTTGATTTGTGATCTGGCAATCTCCTAACTTGATTCTTAACAACTCAACAATCTCCCCCTAAGTTGGAGATTGCCGATTGTCCGCTTGAAACTTGCAAAATAGGAACCACTTTTCCAAGCATACAATACCTAACCAGTTCTACTTTAAAGACCACATTCAACCACATCAAACGTTCTGAAATATCCAACAAGCATTCAACAATTGAAAATATCCAGTCAGCATTCAACAGTCAAAAAAGTGCTGCAGACTAAAACAGCAAAACAACAAAACCAGAGAGTTAAACATCCAGCTGGGAAAAGACACGTCCAGCAAACCAAATACCAAAATGATCATCAATCTAGAGCTAATCGGATCCATAAGTATCCTGAAGATCAGCAAGCACATCACTTAACGAAGGTAGTGCAGAATCAGAATCATCATCACTGTCACTGCTGCTGCTGCTAATCCAATGAACCTCTATATCCTGATTTGGTTCTTCATCTTCAGCAGGTTCCTCCTCTGGTTCTTTGGAGTCTGAGTCTGAATCATCCTCCCCCTCAACGGCAATCTCGTCCAGGACATCATCAGTAGTGAGAAAAACGGTGGGAGTGGTGGAGCGAAATGGGTCAAGAGAAATCTCCAGACAAGAGATAAGTCGAGTAATCAGAGGCCAAAAGGAAGATGACCATGATATTCGAAATACTAGAACATGTACAGATGTCCGAAAAGTAGATGGGAGTAATCAAGAGGAACATTGTTCACAGCATGCTGAATGACCCAGAGATCCAGAGGTGTGACTCGATCTAGGAGGACAGTCCTAGGAAGGAATCGATGAGTGAGGAAAAAATGAAAGGTGCAGATAGCAGGAAGCAGAAAGGTGGTGGGAAGAGTGAGCAGAGCGTCAGGAGTATGGCTAGTTAGATGCACAAACTCATGCTCGATATTGAAATTGAACAGCAACAGCTCAGGCTCATGAGCCAGAATTTCACCTACTTGAGGAATAGCTAGCAGACGCCTAAGATCTTCAATGGGAATAGTAACAAGATGGCCATAAATGAGGGTTGTAAAAGTGCGAGTATCTAGGCCAAAGGATCGAAAGTTTGAGTAAAAAAGGAGAACAGCCTCAGGAAAAATATGCTCTAGGGTTTCATCAATAAGAAAATCCCAACCTAGGTTATGAATGAGTTGAGTGAAGTCGAGACCATACTCAACCAGGCCAGCATAAGGAATCTGATAGTTGGGAATGATAGGGCGACGAGCATAGGAAACAGCATGTCTATGGGCATTGGTAGGGATAGGGTCATGGAACAGAGTACCTGTGTAGGTGATGGAGAACTCAAACACCATTGGGAATACTGGTCTAGCTAACTAAGACTCAACAACAACCGATGAATGACTAGAGAAGAAACACACAGACGTTTAAATAGCA